TCTTTAGGCAGTGTCAGGTTAACATCACGAGAGGAATGCCAAAACCAATTGTCGCGGTATTTTGATCAGAAGCCCCAAAATTTCTATAGCAATGGGATCATGTCCCTACCTACAAGATGACAAAAAGTTATCGAACAAAATGGTACTTACATACTTTAGTTAAATGTAAATAAACTATATTAAAAAATGTTGTGAATTTTCTTAAAAAATGCGAATAAACTTTTTCACCAACCTATTATATATTATTATATATTTAAACAAATACAAAAAATTGCCGGATCTCTCTAGCAGTTCTAAAGTGTTAAGTTTGCTTACCAGCTTTCAGGAGAAGAATACTCAACCTATTAATTAAAATAAACAATCTAACATTACAATACTCGTAATAATTGTAGTATTCTATCGAAATCAAAGAACATTTTACTTTTCAGCCATCAGTACCACACCCTGGTTTCGAAGAGACATTCGAAGCATACGATGATTCCGTAGTTTGTCCTCAAGTTACTAAGGGCGTCGGAGTTGGTAGTCTCCAGTGTTTGAANACAATACTCAACCTATTAATTAAAATAAACAATCTAACATTACAATACTCGTAATAATTGTAGTATTCTATCGAAATCAAAGAACATTTTACTTTTCAGCCATCAGTACCACACCCTGGTTTCGAAGAGACATTCGAAGCATACGATGATTCCGTAGTTTGTCCTCAAGTTACTAAGGGCGTCGGAGTTGGTAGTCTCCAGTGTTTGAACCTGAACGTTTATGTCCCAAACACGGCTACATCGCGCAACAAGCGCCCCGTGATGGTTTGGATCCACGGAGGAGGCTTCACTAGCGGCAGCGGGACAGGCAGGGACTACTCCTTCGACGACCTGGTCCGACATGACGTCATCGTCGTATCGGTCAGCTACCGACTCGGACTCTATGGGTTCTTATGTTTGGACAGTCCTGATTTTCCCGGCAACCAGGGTATGAAGGACCAAGTTCTTGCTTTGAGATGGATTAAGGAAAATATCGAAGCGTTCGGCGGAGATGCCTCTAAAATAACCTTATTCGGAGAGAGTGCTGGCGGCGTCGCTGTCGAGCTACACCTACTGACCGACCAGGATAAGCTGTTCAATCAGGTGATCATCCAGAGTGGATCTGCTTTCTTTGCTGGGGGTATTAGGAAACCTAGCAGCCGTGTTCCAATAGAAATAGCGAGCCAGCTGGGATTCGAAACTGACAACTTCTTAGAGGCGGTAAAGTTTCTGGCCGATCAAGACCCCCACCTGGTGGTTGCAGCCAGCACTTCTCAAAGCTCTACCTTAAGAGGCGGTACTCTTAGACCTTGCTTAGAAAACAAATACGACGGAGTTGACAGTTTTCTTTCCGACTTTCCTGAAAATTTAGAGGCTAGAAACATTCCTGCTATTTATGGAGTAACCAATAAAGAATTTCTAACATTACATGCTTATGTGACCCCCGAAGACTACGAGGTGACAGGAATTCGAGCTTTTCTGGAACGGGCTTTCAACTTGACCGATAACGATATGGAAGACCACGTGAGACATTTCTACATCGGAGACGAGACGCTGACCGAGAAGCAGTTCGATGAGTTTATAGATTTTGCATCAGACTATTACTTCAACTACGCCGTCCAGCGGTCTATAAAGAAGTCATTGGCCGACGGTAACAAGGAGGTATATTACTACGTGTTCTCGTACGACGGAGGCAGGAATGCCATGAAGGAGTACCTCGGCATAACGGCGGAGGGCGCTGCGCACGCGGACGAGCTCGGCTACCTGCTGGCCGTGGATGCGGTCCCGGGACAGCACATCGCCGAGGAGGACCAACTGATCATCGACAGGATCACTACTCTTTGGGCTAATTTTGCCAAATACGGGTATGTTGCATTGTATGTATTGTATGCATATACGTACATACATATGTACCAATAAACAATTTAAGTGATGGAACTCTAAATGCAACAATTGAGCTCCTTACATTTTTCTTCTTTTGTTTTATTACTTAGGTGGTTAGACTAGCTCAAGAACTGTCTGAACCCATAGGAATCCATAAACATCTACAAAGTACATAAATGCCACCACCCACCTGACCTGAGTTCTAAGGTTTGAGTTTTTACAGTACAACGGCTGCCCCCACCCTTCAGACCGAAATGCATTACTGTTTCACGATAGAACGGGGCAGGGTGCTGGTACCTACTCGCGATTACACGATGTTATTCCTTCATCGTGGAAGTCATTCGTGAACATATGTTTAGTACGCATAACAAAAACTGCAGCAGGCATCTTATCCTTTAGGCCACGACCACTTCAACGTTACAGAGATCAATGTGTATATATGTTCTTTGATGCCTTCCATGTTCCAGTAACCCCACCCCTGAGCCGACGGACCTGCTGCCGGTCGTGTGGTCGACAGTAGAAGGTAACAAGCGGCCGTATCTGGACATCGACACCGACCTGCAGCTCAGAAGCAGGCCCTTCCACCACCGGATGGCCTTCTGGGATCTCTTCTATAAGCTCTATGGAGAATTGGAACGCAAGAAATAACAGCAGAAATAAACGATGAACCAGTACGAGATACGGCTTATACGACGACAGAAATATAAATTGACCAGAATGCTTATATGTATTCATGTAAAATCTATATAAATTGAACTTTATGCATTTTTGATGTTTTTCATTTATTATAATTTAAAAAACTAGAGTAACATGTGTGTGTGAACAATATAAGGGTCTCTCCGGTGTCGCCGTGGAAACCCCCCACAAAAAGGCACTTCTAGTCAGTGCCATAACTGTCAACAATACGGGCACTCATTCCCTAACTGTCAAGCGCGCTTCCGATTCGTTAAGTGTTTCGACGATCACGCCACGGCTCTCTGTGCTCGCGACCAGGAACCGCCATCGAACCCCCTAGCTGCGTCCTGTACCGAACACATGGTCACCTGAGGCTGCCTCCGGGCCCCTAAATTGAAACGCCGCGTTGCCCGACAAAACCGCCTTCACGCTCCCGGCCCTGACTCTAAAGCCTCAACACACTCTGTGCCTGAGGCTAAGTCTGCCTTAGCCCCAGCCCAGCGTGCCCAGCGTCACGGCTTGGGCTAATCCCTTGCCGTACACGAACAACCCTGTGACGCCCCTGTAACTCGCCCCTCCCCCGCGACTTGTCATCCGATTGCGTCCGACAATCTCGCTCTAGCTATCGACTTTTTCCAGTCGATCAACTTTGAGTGAGTTAGCGCTTTGGGCGACGCCAACCGCGCCGCCTCCTCTGCACATTATATTACATCGCAGTTGTGCAAGAATACTCTGACGTATAGAATAGGTACGCGTCGTTAAATATGCACGTCCTCCCATCACTCCGCTTGTAATCAATGGCGTACATAGATAGAATAAAACTCCTATCCGTAACGATAGGATTCTTTAACACTTAAGGTCTCGCAAATCAACGTGATCAGGTTTGTGATTTTTGGCGTAACCATCCTATGGACATTTTTCTAGTACAGGACCGCCTTAAGGCCGCGCGTCTTGATTCTAAAATCTATAGCTATGTCATTCATAATATGGTTAGGAATGACAGACTTACCGCTCGCGGTAGTGGTTCCGTGACAGACATGAAATTCATGGTTCAATTCCAAGCCTGTTCGTGTCATAACTTTATACATATTTCAATTTAATTTTATTGTGCATCTCACATAAAATAGTTTAGAAATGTGTGCTTTAAGACAAATCCCAATGATTAATTGTTTTATTAAATAGGTTATTTACTTCATCATAATAAAGTAAAATCAAATGTTTATTACACATTTATTCGAACCAATATTCATACAATGTTACATTCTACATCTAGACTATGCCTATACAGAATAATTTAAGTACAAATACATACATTATAACCAATTGATTTAGTTTTTTGCATTGTAAGCTAAATAACTTGATTTATTTCCATAAATTTGTTTTTTATACCAACTTAAAATACAATGAAAATTACTTGTCACCACGGGAATGTTGTTTAAAACGTCATTGACACTGCAATGTCAACATGTCAAAAAAAACATATATTTTAATGTCAAAATGTCATTTAAATTATCAAGTGTCGAGCATTTTCCTTAAACGTACATTTTGATAATGTTTTAATAAACAAGGCGTCTCGCTGAGATGCTAATATTTTCGACATGCTGTATTGAAGTACCAAGGACTTACATAAATTACATAAATCATATATAAAATTGTCCGCTTTCCATGACTAGGCAATATAAAACAGCGGCGAAATTTTATTAATTCTAAAATAACTTAAATTAAATGAATATTCAACTTAAAATTAATCAGTAGGCGTTTATTTATTTTTTTACATTCGGTAAAATCTCAATCGTAACTGTACATCTCACGAATCTATACAATAAAAGGATTTTCTCTTTAAGAGCGAATCCTTCGGTCAATGCATGAATTTTATCACTTATTCCTATACAAGACAATATAAGGTATTGTAAATATTTAACAAACTGTAAGATATATATGTATTTGAATTATTGATTTGAGTGTTATGCAATTGATTAGAATTATTTAGAAGATGTCCCAGAATCAACACGTAATGAAAAATTTGAAAATTAGTGCAGTTAATTTTTTATTGCATAACAGTATCCAAGAGGCATGACGCGCTCTACTTTCGGTGCAATAAAACACTAAAATCCTACTATAATTCACAACTTTAATACGAAGGCAATGTCTGGACGGACATGTTTCTAATTTCAACACGAAAAACATTTATTTATACTTTAGCACCATAATTTTTAAACGAATCAAATCCAATTTCTATAATTATTAAACGACTGTATTTTATTCACTGTTCATTTTCAAAAAGTGTGAATTCATATTTTGAGAGAAAATAAGCAGTCGAAATTTATCTACTAGCCCGGTGACGCTGATATGTTCTCTCAAGACATTAGCTTAGGTAGGGAAAAAAAAGTCAAAAACATGATGGATCGAAACGAAAAAAAAAANTAAACGAATCAAATCCAATTTCTATAATTATTAAACGACTGTATTTTATTCACTGTTCATTTTCAAAAAGTGTGAATTCATATTTTGAGAGAAAATAAGCAGTCGAAATTTATCTACTAGCCCGGTGACGCTGATATGTTCTCTCAAGACATTAGCTTAGGTAGGGAAAAAAAAGTCAAAAACATGATGGATCGAAACGAAAAAAAAAATACAAATCCCTATGTTACATGTTTTTGGCGGACGACGTAAGCGTCATTTCAGCCACAGTGTCTCCTAGTTGAGAGTCTTTCAAAGACAATTTAGTAGAACTTGAAGGTAGGAAGAACCCTTTAAAATTTGTATTCTGTATTCTCACTAAATTTATTGACGCAATAGGTGAGCCGAGTCAATAACAGTAATAATGGTTCATTACGTCATTACTGAGGACAGATTACATTTTTTAGTAGAAACTAAATACATTTAAGAGTCGTTTATAAAATTGCAATAAGAGACAAGGAAATGCCAAGTTATTTAATTTCGCACTAAAGAGTGACAAAAGAGAATGACATCAGAATTCGCGTGCGCCTCAAAGTTCTTATTTTTGAATACTTAAATATTATGTACATATTTACGACTATTTTATCTATTATTCGTTTTCTAATTAATCGAGTGCTTTGTTAAGGATATTGAATTTAACGAAAGGACGCAAATAAACAAGACAATTTTTACGAATGAGGCGAATTTGAATCCGTTGTAGGTAAAATTAACAGGTGGACGGTCTGGCGATTCGACTTCGAGTAACTTCCTCTTGTTCCCTAGATCGACTCAGACTCAGAGTCTCTTGTCCCTAGATTGACTCAGACTCAGAGTCTCTTGTTCCTTAGATCGACTCAGACTCAGTCTCTTGTTCCCTAGATCGACTCAGAGTCTCTTGTCCCTAGATTGACTCAGACTCACTTACTCTTGTTCCCTAGATCGACTCAGAGTCTCTTGTCCCTAGATTGACTCAGACTCACTTACTCTTGTTCCGTAGATCGACTCAGACTGAGAGTCTCTTGTGCCCTAGATCGACTCAGACTCACTTCCTCTTGTTCCCTAGATCGCTCCACTCAGATTCAGAGTAACTTCCTCTTGTTCCCTAGATCGACTCAGACTCAGTCTCTTGTTCCCTAGATCGACTCAGACTCACTTCCTCTTGTTCCCTAGATCGCTCCACTCAGGTTCAGAGTAACTTCCTCTTGTTCCCTAGATCGACTCAGACTCAGAGTAGCTTCCTCTTGTTCCCTAGGTAGGTCCCGGAGAGCGCGAGCAGGCGGTACCGCTGTCGCAGGTTGCGGGCCCGGACGTGCGGGGACGCGATCTCGGCGGAGTAGGCCCCGGGGAACCAGCCCGCCTCCCCGTCCCGGGTGCGCTCGCCGTAGTACCAGCCTGAGCGGGAAAATAAATAATCCGGGATTAATCACCGACGATCATCTAGTATCCAAACTAGGATTTCCCGTACCATGGAACCAGACACTTAAGTACATGTATACTTTTAAATATAATCATAACACGTACATAGATACACTGCCGGCCAAAAGTTTAAGACCGCACTTAATAACATTATTATCAATCATTTGTAATCAAATCCCATAAGTTAAATAAAATAAATGCACATTTGCATATTCTATTGTTAATAAGGAATATTTAAAGAAGTCATTCTTTTATTTACTTTCAAGTTATTGGACAATAAACATAATTTATTATTTTCAAATACCAACAAATGCTGCTCTAGAGCCCGGTGGTAGAGTCATAATAGTAATACATCGGTCAATAATTAGGATTATAATAATAGGAGGATAATTAGGATATATCTGAAAACACGTATTTCGCTACAAAACGAAGAATTTGCGTTCAGAAGAAAATATGATGTCAGACTGTGATGAGCATATTATTATAATCATGATGGGGGCTCATTTATGATCTGTAGTTGCTTCTCTAGCCAAGGGAGGAACTGAACTGAACTGATTTGATCACAAATGAAAGAATTTTTAAAAATTAACAGTATAAAAAGTTTTAGAACAAAATGCCGTTCCTACCGGGTTGCGATTAATTGGAGATGGATTCATTTTTACATGATACATACAACAAGAAAATATAGGTCAAAATTATGCAGAGGATATTTAGAAGAGAAAAAGGCACAAGGGGTATTAAAAAACATGGTCTGGCCTCTTTAGAGCCCGGATCTTAATAATCCCATAGAACTTTTGTGGGAAGAGCTTGATGGGAACGTCCATAATCGTGACCCATCCTCGCAAGAAGAAATATGGAATGCTTTATGCGAAAATTGGCGCAATTTATCACAAGACACCATCAACGAATTGATTGCCCGTATGCCGAGACTTATAAAGTCATAGAATGTAAAGGAGGATTTTTTTGATGATAAATCCGTTATCTAACTATAGCCTTTTTTTGGCATGAATTGCTAATATTTCTTTACGTTTTAAAATATATTTGTTGTCGATCAGTGTTTTATTAGATGATGAAACAAGTTAATTAAACATTTAATATTTTATTGGAATTTTATTTCATTGCCCTATTCTAATTAAGGTGGTCTTAAACTTTTGGCCTGCAGTGATTAAACAGGTTAATTAAACATTTAATATTTTATTGGAATTTTATTTCATTGTCCTATTCTAATTAAGGTGGTCTTAAACTTTTGGCCTGCAGTGTAATAAATATCCGGACAGAGAAATTAAACTTGTTAATCACACAAATGTTTGTGCGACGTGGGAATCGAACCCACGATCTTCGGCACAGCAGTCAGAGGCGCTAGCCACAGCGTCACCAACCAATCAGTGAGATAACGCAATTTATTTGCAATCTTTTGACGTCGCGCTCTTTCACGACTTCTCGTCAACTGTCTGCTGTGTTTTCTTGTCATTATTCTATAATTGTAATCACTGTTTTGGTGTGCAATAAAGCTCAGTAAGTAGGACCTCTTGTGAGCCCGCACGGGTAGGTACCACCACCATGCCTATTTCTGCCGTGAAGCAGTAATGCGTTTCAGTTCGAAGGACGGGGCAGCCGTTGTAACTATCCTGAAACCTTGGAACTCGTATCTCAAGGTAGGTGGCGGCATTTACGTTGTAGATGTCTATGAGCTTCGGTAACTACTTAACACCAGGTTTGAGTTCGTACACCCATCTCTCTCTCTCCCTCTCTGTCTCTGTCTATAGCGGGTTGTACAGATCGAAGTGAGGGTCAGCTCACCTTCGGCCGTCTTCCTGGTGACGTTGACGACGTCGCCCTCGGCCAGCGACAGCTCGTCGGGCTGCGCGGCGCCGTACGCGTACAGCGCGCACACCTGTGGCGCCGCCGACACGGTTACACAACACAACGCGACCGCCGACAGACTTGGGGCACTAGGCCTCAAGTGCGTCGGGTCGCACTAGGGTTGCCATCCGGAGATAGCGGTGATGGATTTACGCTCAGCCCCGCGCGATCGGGCCTAGAGCGGCATGACTAGGGACGGCAAAATTACTTAAATGCAAAAATTTTAGAGACCAAAAAAGCAATTCACGACAAGTCTCCTTTGAAAATGAGTTCAGATTAATTAAAAAGTTATTTTAAATTTTAATCATCATTAGTCATCAAGCCTAAATCCATCACTGTGAGATTGTTTACATACAGAGTGCACAGAGATCTCAATGAGATCACCAGATAGATTGTAAAGAAAAAGCGAAGATGTTCCACCAATAAAAAATTTTTGTTTGTAAATAGGCAGTTTCTTTGAATTATTATTAGCACGATTCAGGTTTATGTTGGATTATTTCTATTCGTTTAAAAGCTACAGCTGAGCTAGCTGATAGCTACATTGACGGAGACAACCCTGACAAGCTTTGTGTAGTGTAAGTGTTTGCGGTGTATGCACAGTGTGGTGAATCTACTGTGAGATGTATGGACTATGTGGTGAATCTACTGTGTGTTGTGTATACTGTGTAGTGTATATGCTATGTAGTGTACTCTGTGCAGACGGCAGTGCGTGCGTACCTGCGGACAGTCCCAGCCGGCGTAGACCGCCTCCCCGGGCGCGGCGGCGGGCAGCCACAGCGCCTCGCGCCATCGCGACACCTCCGTCTCACTGCCGCACGACATCAACTGCAACCAACACACAACAGTGTTCGTAGATTAGTGTCGTCGTTCGTGATGGTAACCATCAGTCCGGGCTCGCGTTGGTATGATCGTGGTCATCATCATCATGGTCGGTTATTGTTGGCAGAGCAGTCATGGTCAAGTGGAATCTTTGTTTATTAAAGCCTTGACAGCTGTTCTCCACAGTTCGCGAACTGAGGCTTTGCGCACGATCATCTGATCAGTCCAGCGGATAGGGTTGGTCAATTAATATCTCCCAAAAGTTGTCGTCAACAGTGCAATCCAGGAATATTTTGGACACGTATCGCGACGGTCAGCAGAGTGTATCGAGAAACATGTTGTTCAGGGTAGGGACAATGATCGTGGTCACGTATGGCCTTTATGCCATACAATTTGACCTCATCTCTCAACGTGAATAGTGGCGTCCATTTTGTGCCCTACGAGCCCCGGTAATCGCTAAACAACCTGTCTGCCAGCAGCCTCGAGGGGCCATTGTGGCTTAACTCTGACATTTTCAATAATAAATGTTTCTATTCAAAACCGCCATCTTATCACACATGTTACACTATTACACGTTATTTGTAGACTGCTATAGTCATCCTTCAAATATACTTTAAATAGCAGGTCCATGAGCACGACCCTACTGTTAGCTCGAGGTCTGAAGCACGGACAGCCGCCACCGACCTCACGCTGCTAGGTGGGTGACGCCAACGGACCTTCTAGGTAGGTGAAGTCGATTGTGGTACGTGTCCAATATTCCTCCGCTGCGACCATCGCTAATTGTACGAGAAACGTCAATGTCTTTAGTTGTTTAGGTTTAGCTTTGGTGGTTATTAATCGCGCACCACCCGCCGCTCGGCGACGGCGCTGGAACAGCCACCTCCCGGACTCACAACAGCTCTACCGACTACCATCACGATCCGACCAACGGTCAGGGCAAACACACATGAACATCGATTTGTATTATATATAGGTATACATTCCCTCACCATTTCGACGGTCCTTCCCTCGTGGTTGTCGAGGAGGGTGAGGAGCAGCGCGTGCTTGGTGGCGGCCACTCCCTCCGCGCTGCACACCTCCAGCAGCGAGCGCGGGCAGTGGTCCACCGCCACGTACGACTCCTCGCTGGAGGAACGGAACCAACATTACTGCTATAGCCAGGCAGACATTGCTATTTACTGGCCGCACTTCAGATTACTGACAATCGCATATAAGAGCGTCCCTATATGAGAACTGACCCTTTCTTCTTGGTGACGACGAGCAGGTCGTTGAACAGGAACACGTGCAGGGGAACCTTGTGGAACTTCTTGCCGAAGGTCAGCTTCAATTCGTCATTTTTCCACACCAGCTGCGTCATCTCACCGGACCGGACCAGCCACCGCACCGGCCTGAAGGCGTCGACAATATATTGAAATACGTGTCTACAGTTTTAGCTCCCGTTGTAAATTCTAACGTTGTAAACGTTGGTAAATGACCGATTTGATGTGAAGTGGATGTCGAGAATGCGCAAGAACATGGTTAATATCCTATCAGTCTTTATTCAGATCACACTTTCTAGTATATACACTGATGGCACTATGTCGGTTATGAACATATCGTAAAGCTCCGCTTACCGCTGTTAGTTATTACCATCCTATTTATGCCGCGAAGTATTCCCGGTTGAGACGTAGAATTAATTTCCTGTTAGAATTGGGACTTAGGCCTCGACTCTCATGTCTCAAGGTTGATGAAGGTATTAATGTAGTGATGTCTATGAGCTCGTTCGCAAGTCTATACAGTAAAACAATAATAATAGTGATTTTGCTGCCAGTCGCTGTGTACCCAGCCTACCAGTAGTAGTGGGGCTGTGGGGTCGGGGACGGACGTACCGTCGGTCCCGGCGCGCCAGGGCGGGCCCCAGGTCGGGCGGGTGGCGCACGCCGGCCGGGAACTCGATGACGCGCGCCAGTCGGTACATCTCCTCCACGCGCTCCGTGTTGCGGGCGCCCTCGTTGCACTGCTGGACGTACTGCGGGGAACAAGGGCAATCATCTCACTCGAGTGGCCCTACCGACACTACCAATGCAGTCGGACGTGTGAGTACTTCGCGGCGGAAACTCATCCGTGTGGGCATACAATGCGCCTTACCAAAATAGTTACCGTTCACATTTCCGTGTAGGTCAAATCTATAACTGTCCGAGTTACGCGAGCCCGGCCTAGAGTACATCGTTCGGGTCATGATGCGACCTGTATCTTTTCGTACAAAACCAGAGTTAAAAAGGCGCAATCAATTCTGTTTAGGCGTATTGTGAGTTCAACACATTTCGACCGCAAAACAGGTAACCGGTGTTAGATCGGCCAGACTTTGTGATGTGACACTTCGTGATGTCCACGGACCCGATAATAATCTAAGACCAAACTAGATGAGAGGCTGAGCTGTTTTAGTACAAATCAAACAATAATTATGCTCCGGCCAGTGGGACTGTGAGTTTATTCATCTATATATGTAATTTAGAAAATCTGTCGAACGCAACATTCCCAAAGTTTTCGTATACACCATCACCTGACTCTTATCATTTGTCTTCGTCTATGGCAGTGGTCTTTACCATACATGTCAGACATGGTCGTAATCCCAATCCCCACGGCTGACGATTAAAAACCACGGTTAAACGATTAAAGTTTAGCGGTAGGCAGCGGCTTGGCTCTGCCCCTGGCATTGCTGCATGGGCGACGGTAACCACTCACCATCAGGTGGGCCGTAAGCTCGTTTGCCTACAAAGGCAATAAAAAAAAAAAAAATATATATATATATCAGCTCTTTCAAAGGCTTACAAAATATATTGTATTTGTACTATACCTTTAAGAGAGAAATAAATAAATAATAATAATTATTATTACAATATATACAATATAGATCACGTTGCATTAGTATTAAACTTACATTGTTCAGAGTCGCTAGTGCATGCATGCACGCCTCATACTCTTCGTCTTCTGATGAGAGGTTCTTCAGCACCGCGTCCATCAACAACGGGAGTCTCGTCACTCGCTGCATCGGTAGCATCAGGAACGAGTGGAGGGATAGACTCTGGCAAGCCGGGTGACTCTCTAGCCTGTGATCGAGTGATAAATTATTTTTATTTTTTATTTTTTTTTATTGCTTAGATCGGTGGATGAGTTCACAGCCCACCTGGTGTTAAGTGGTTACTGGAACCCATAGACATCTACAACGTAAATGCGCCACATACCTTGAGATAGAAGTTCTAAGGTCTCAGTATAGTTACAACGGCTGCCCCACCCTTCAAACCGAAACGCATTACTGCTTCACGGCACAAATAGGCGGGACTCACAAGAGTTTGATTTTTATTACACGATTATTACTTCCCTCACCGTGGAAGTCAATCGTGAACAATTGTTAAGTACGTATTTCATTAGTAAAATTGGTACGAATCGCTACGAATCGCTACGAATGCACCGGACGTCTTATCCTTTAAGCCACGACGACTTCAAAACCACCTGGTGTTAAGTGGTTACTGGAGCCCATAGACATCTATAACGTAAATGCCCCACCCATCTAAATATAATATAGCTTTCTCTTTCTCTCGATCTACGCACATTTGAGTACTCAGGTGGTAATGTACGAGGCGTGTTTTCATTCATAGAGACGATAAGAATTGGTCGATTAAAATGATCACATTTAAAGAGCTCACTAAACTGACCATGATATGTACTGTTTTCATGATTCATGATGTTTTTGGACAACATTTACTAATTTAATTTCCGCCTATTTCTGGCGTGAAGCAATAATGCGTTTCGGTTTGAAGGGCGGGGCAGCCGTTGTAACTACATATACTGAGACCTTAGAACTTATATCCCACGGTGGGTGGCGCATTTAAGTTGTACATGACTATGAGCTCCAGTAACCACTTAACACCAGGTGGGCTGTGAGCTCGTTCAGCCATTTAAGCAATAAAAAAAAACAAAATAAAAATTCTCATCGATAACAGATCTAGTTATGCAGGAAGGATAGAGAATTTCAGAGATCCTATCGATAAGAGACGATTGCGGCCGAGTGACAATGCATATCAGACTTATTTGATTTCACGGAGATTGTTGCTCCGTTATCATTTTCAGATACAGGTCTTATATAAAATATCTGACAGCGCACAAACAGCACATTTCCTGAGCAAGTATGCTGCGATTGGTTGCTCTTTTGGGCTTGTTGTCAGCAGTGGCTGCCCGGTTGAGGATAGACCCGCTTGTTGATACTCAGCGGGGCCTCATCAGGGGACTGAGGTCCGAAAATGGAAAGTTCTCGAAGTTTTTGGGCATACCGTACGCACTAGTCGACGAGGACAATCCTTTCGGGGTGAGTACGTTTTTTTTTCCTTCCTATTCTAGTAGCCTCGAGGAGTTATACTAGATTCACAGAACGAGTAGTTAGGTGAGCTCACGGGGCTCTAACCTGACGACATTGCTAACACTAGCCCTAGCAAGAGCAGTGCTTCGCAGAATTTACCGCCGGATCGGCCTCCGGCCGTCAGATGACGGGGGCGAGAGCGAGTTCCCTCTACTCGATATGGAAACGAACGGTTCGATAAGAAGTCTCGTATGATGAGCACGAGTCAGTCAGACACTCCCATGTTATACAGCTTATAAATCAAACCGTTATGCCAGACTTTATCGAACGCTTTTGCGATATCGAAGAAGAGGGTTCCGGTCGGGATTAGTTTCCGCTTATTTAGCTCTATTTAAATATGCTCCGTGAGGCGATGCACTTGTTTGCACGAATGTTTGGCGCGAAACCCAAACCGCTCGTCGATCAATATCGTCGTCTTTTTGGACGAGATGTAGTCCCAGAAGCGTTTCCGAAGGAGTCGTTCGTATATTTTGCCTATCCAGCGATAAGAGGAGACTAATCGGACGGTACCGTAAAATAGTAATTGTAGTATTATATCGAAATCAAAGAACATTTTATTTTTCAGCCATCAGTACCACACCCTGGTTTCGAAGAGACATTCGAAGCGTACGATGATTCCGTAGTTTGTCCTCAAGTTACTAATAACGTCGGAGTTGGTAGTCTCCAGTGTTTGAACCTAAACGTTTATGTCCCAAACACGGCTACATCGCGCAACAAGCGCCCCGTGATGGTTTGGATCCACGGAGGAGGCTACACTAGCGGCAGCGGGACAAGCAGGGACTACTCCTTCGATGACCTGGTCCGACATGACGTCATCGTCGTATCGGTCAGCTACCGACTCGGACTCTATGGGTTCTTATGTTTGGACAGTCCTGATTTTCCCGGCAACCAGGGTATGAAGGACCAAGTTCTTGCTTTGAGATGGATTAAGGAAAATATCGAAGCGTTCGGCGGGGATGCCTCTAAAATAACCTTATTTGGAGAAAGTGCTGGCGGCGCCGCTGTCGAGCTACACCTACTGACCGACCAGGATAAGCTGTTCAATCAGGTGATCATTCAGAGTGGATCTGCTTTCTTTCCTGGGGGTATTGGGCAACCTAGCAACCGTGTTCCAATAGAAATAGCAAGCCAGCTGGGATTCAAAACTGACAACTTCTTAGAGGCGGTAAAGTTTCTGGCCGATCAAGACCCCCACCTGGTGGTTGCAGCCAGCACCTCTCAAAGCTTTACTTTAAGAGGCGGTACACTCAAACCTTGCAGAGAAAACAAATACGACGGAGTTGACAGTTTTCTTTCCGACTTTCCTGAAAATTTAGAGGCTAGAAACATTCCTGCTATTTATGGAGTAACCAATAAAGAATATCTAACATTACATGCTTATGTGACCCCAGAAGACTACGAGGTGACAGGAATTCAAACATTTCTGGAACGGGCTTTCAACTTGACCGATAACGATATGGAAGACCACGTGAGACATTTCTACATCGGAGACGAGACGCTGACCGAGGAGTTTTTCGATGAGTTTATAGATTTTGCGTCGGACTATTTCTTCAACTACGCCGTTCAGCGGTCTATTAAGAAGTCATTGGCCGACGGTAACAAGGAGGTATATTACTACGTGTTCTCGTACGACGGAGGCAGGAATGCCATGAAGGAGTACCTCGGCATAACGGCGGAGGGCGCTGCGCACGCGGACGAGCTCGGCTACCTGCTGGCCGTGGATGCGGTCCCGGGACAACACATTGCCGAGGAGGACCAACTGATCATCGATAGGATCACTACTCTTTGGGCTAATTTTGCTAAATACGGGTACGTTCAGCTTATACGCACATACCTCCATGTGTACCGATAAACAATTTGAGTAATGGAACTCCAAATGCAACAACTGAGTTCCTTACATTTTCATTTGTTTTATTACTTAGGCGGCTAGACTAGCTCAAGAACTGTCTGGACCCATAGGAACCCATAAACATCTACAATGTACATAAATGCCACCGCCCACCTTTAGACATGAGTTCTACGGTTTGAGTTTTTACAGTACAACGGCTGCCCCACTCTTCAGGCCGAAATGTATTACTGTTTCACGATAGAACTGGTACCTACTCGCGCAGACATTACACGATATTATTCCTTCACCGTGGAAGTTATTCGTGCACATAATTATGTTAAGTACGTATTGCATTAGAAAAACTACAGCGGGCGTCTTATCTTTTAGGCCACGACGACTTCAACGTTACAGAGATCAATGTGTATAGATGTCGTTTGATGCCTTTCCATGTTCCAGCAACCCCACCCCTGAGCCGACGGACCTGCTGCCGGTCGTGTGGATGACAGTAGAAGGTAACAAGCGGCCGTATCTGGACATCAACACCGACCTCCAGCTTAGAAGCAGGCCCTTCCACCACCGGATGGCCTTCTGGGATCTCTTCTATAAGCTCTATGGAGAATTGGAGCGCAAGAACTAAAAGGCCGAAATAAACGATGAACCAGTACGAGATACGGTTTGTACGACGACAAGAATACTAACCAGGACGCTTATATACATAAATGTAGTCTACATAAATTGAATCTATGCATTTTAGATGTTTTTCATTTATTATAGTTTCTCCCGGCAGATATGACGTTTTAGAATGAAACACGAACAAGCTTGGAATGGAATCGTGAATGTCTCACGGTTCCATTCCAAGCTTGTTCGTGTTTTAAATTTACATAACAAAATATTCTCAAAAAAAAAAAAAGACTTATCCCCGTATCTTTAGTCGTTCACACGAGTTTAACTCTACTCGACTCAACCTCCAACGCGCGTTTTGGTATGCTTGATCGTAAAAATAACATCCACTCAAACGTCCCTCGAAAAAAATCCTCACCGCAGTGGAGTAATTGAACTGTTAAAGTCAAGACGCGACGTACCTTGAACGTTCCTCTAAGCCTCGAAACAGCGTCTAGTAGATACAAGATGACTTCTGATAGCAGTTTTGAAGAATTTATTGACTATATTGTTGATAACAGAGTGTATAATTAATTGTCCATCGCAAAGGTATTTGGGAGATGCGGATAACCCCTTGGAAGTTTACGATGACGACGAAATCCGAAAACGTTACAGACTTAGTAAAAATTCGGTTGTGCATATTCTGCTCCCTTTGTTGACTAACAACATTAATGAAAACAATCTCGGACTACCTGTAACGCCGATATTACAAATGCTAATTGCTCTGAGACTTTACGCAACACGCAATTTTAAGATTCATGCATAACGTGCTTTTGTGTATACATATTATAGAATATCAATATTTTACAACTTTCATTTGGATCATGTGGTATGTCTATTTTAATTTATTAATAATTTATAATTTTATTTTACTTTTATTCATTTTTCAATGCGACTACTGTCAAACAGACAGTGGCAGCTTGACTTTGACATTAAAAAATAACCATAGACTAAGATCTCTATGGGTTTGATGCTAGCTTGATCAAATTGTCCTCGAACTGATGACGTCATGGTGACGCAATACCTCGACTCGACCTCACTCTGGTAGAGTTGAGGAATATTGTAATGGTCGACTAAGAATACCAAACTCGAGTAAGTTTTGGAGGAATGCTTGAGGCGTCGTCGGCTGAGTTAGAGTGGAGGAATATTTCAGGAAATGTTTAAGGATATGGGTATAAGTGTCTTAAGCAGAGTTTTTTTTCTTCAATGTTTTCGTGACCTCATTGCACTAGTAGGAAATAAAATAAGAATTCTAACTAATTCCTAAATGAATCTTAGTGTTCATAGTTTTTTTTTGTCGATATTTTAGTGACAATATTCGTGAGACGGACACGACAAAATGATTGGGACTTAATTATCGTTATTAAAAGAAACATATTACAAACTTACTGGTGGTAGGAACTCTTGTGAGTCCGTACGGGTAGGTAATGCGTTTCGGTTTGAAGAGCGGACAGTCGTTGTAGCTATACTGAGACCTTAGAACTCATATCTCAAGGTGGGTGGCACATTTACCACTTAACTCGTTTTCAATACCTCTTAAGGGCCGTAGCGAAAGCCGGTCTCTCCCGAAGCCTCTGCAGCGCTTTCACCATCAGCGCCTGGTTCTCGCAGTACTTGACGTAGACCTGGAAATGCTCCTCGGCGTGGTGCCGCACTATGTCGCAGATCCCTTGCAGCAGAATGTTCTCTTGCCAGCACTTTTCCAATTCATTCATGAGCAACTGCGAGCATTTCCGTACTGCGATGGATAGAAAAAAAAAATCTATATTTATGAGATAAAGTAACAAAAATCCCTGTCTAAGTTTTGTCTCATACTGACAAGCCTCATTTCTAATTCAACAGAAAGGGACAAAATACAGTGTAACTATTACAAGGTGTTTTTGTATAAAATAAAATACTGATTTCTTTCACCATTAGCTAGCATTGGTAGCGTAGATTAATACTATTAATACGTTTTTCACCTTAAACACAGATTCATGCTAATTTCAAAATTCCGGAACAAATATCACAATAAATTTGAAGTTCCGGTATTTTGGAGGCATATCCACATTATCCTCTACGTTTGACGTCAACGACCTTAAATTAATCTACCTACTCCGACCTCTAGTAATAACTCATTTTCACTATGCTTAGCGAGTAAATGATTTCTTTCTATTTTGAAATGTTTTTCAAATTAATGAATAATGAACTTTTATTCATAGTCGAGTCCAAATATCCAAAGTTGTTTTTTGTCTCACCTGGCAGTATGGTGGAGAAGAGTGTCTCCCAGTCGTCCCGTGGTAGGATGTGTGGATCCCTGAACGCTGGATGAGCCACGAACTGAGATTCCAACACGTTCAGAGAGTTCAGGTACGAAGCTTCGGAGGTGAGCAGCTCGAATTTCGCCTCTTGCAGGCGTTTCTGTGCCGGCGCCAGTGAGCCTGCGGGGAGCGTACCTTCACATCGATTCCCAAGACTTCACGAACCACTTGGTTTGTTTTTTTGCTTACCTAATCGTTGGTGGCCTAAGGGGCTGAATCTACTACCGGATCGGAATCTCGATCCACTGAGAAGATCCGGCGAGAAACTCAGCGGGTTGTGTGTATGGGCTAGTTCGCACGTCAAACTCTTCATCGGAGTCGACGAGTTGGACGAGGACGGTGACCGGTGCTTGAGGAGCCTAGAGTGGATCCGGGGATCCGACAAGACATGTTTTGGGCGACGGCGGCTTTGCTTTGCCCCGTCGCCTGGGTCCACGATAAGAGAGTTATCGTGCAGCGTTGCTTTTTCAAAGTAAGCCATTTGATGTTAACTAGTGGCAAAACGCGGTACCATCATTCTGCCTGAAGGTTGGGACAGCTGTTGTTATTATTATTATTATAAGTATACTGACTGAGCACAGCGGAGTTGAGGACCTCCGGGACCTCGCACCACAGCGTGCGCGCCGGCCCGCGCGGCGACACCAGCGCCATGGCGGACGGCCGCGCCGGCTCGGGGGGCGGGGCCTGCGCGCCCGGCACGCCCGCCTCGTACCCGTCGGAGTCCGAGTCGCCGGTCTCCCGGTAGATCGACTGGACAACAAATTATCATCATTGGTTATTTTATTTATAACTTTATATACTAGACAGTATAAAGATGGACTTAATGCCATAGGCGTTCTCTGACAATCTACCTTAGGGGGGTGCAGAGATAAACCTTGGTAGGTGTAGTGTTATAGTGATATTAGGTACTTAAACATATTATATAACATACATAATATTTATAGATACAAATACTCGTACTTATTATTCAATTTAATGATACGGTGTACCTGAATTACCTTGGTAATGTGAGGAGGGGATTGCTAAATATTTTTTCCTACCTATTGTGATAGCCTTGAGAGGTTATTTCAGCTTAACCCTAACGTGTAAGTGAGCTCATGGGGCTCAAACCGGAGTGTTGCTAACACTGACCCTAACAAGGGGCAGTGCTTCGCAGAATCTACCACCGGATCGGAAACGCGACCCACTGAGAAGATCCAGTGAGAAACACAGTGGGCTGTGTCTGTGGGTTAATTTACTCGGACGGTGACGGTGATTGCTAAAATAATTCGATGGACTGTATGAAAAATGAAATAAGAGTGTGCAGAGTAGACATGATGCATGAGAGGCCTGAATGGAAAAAGAGGACATGCCGACGACATGTCGGGATGTGCAAGTGTGGGATAAGCAAGAAAAAGAAAAAAACTGCGCAAGAATTTTAAGGTATCTTCTTTTACAGCGTTTCATACTTATTTTTAATGATTACTTTTAGTTAATCTATACCTTCTTGGCTTTAACCTCATTACAACAACAATTGTTGGGACTTCCTTTTCCTTATTCCTTCCTCAATCCCCTATCCACGCCATCTGTTGACACTACGAGAAAAACTACGCGCGTATGAAAATGGCGCGAAGTGTGTGTAAAAAAAAACTAAAACATGGTGCCGGTGCAAATACAATAAAATTGTGATTTGTTGATCAATCAGCACATATAACTCTCGCCAGTGAGAAAACTTTAATAGTGCATCAACGAAATACAGAGTGAGTCCTAAAACTTATCCTTTTTCCAGTCCCAAACATCTAAATTCAAAACATTATTTAGTGGTCCGTTTCGAGCGCGAATAACCTATGGTAACTAGGGGCATATTTGTTAGAAAACTCTAGTTCTACATTTCATTTCGCTTTCATCTTATCCTAATAACAATATAACTATTATTTTATAATATTATTTTACTATTTAAAGCATAAAATAACAATATTTTTTTTATAAATCTCAAGTGACGTAGGTAGTACAAAAAATTTATCGGTTGTAAAAATACATAGACCTATATAGTAGGGACACGACCACTGAAGTAGGAAACCTATGGAAATGAAACGTCAACAAAAAATTCGTGCCACTGTGACGTCATCTGGCCACAAAACATGGCGGCTTTAGTGCTGTACAAAAGATTTCAATGTTATCAGGTTTTATCGATAAACGTTCTTGGCTCATTTTATTTTAAATATTGTTGAGTATTATTTATTTGTAGAATTTATACTTTAATGGGAAGTAAGTAGGTATATTGCTATGTGCAAATATGATATGATNTCTTAGCATATTATTATCTCTAATTCACTAGGTACCTTAGTTACCACAGCTTATTATCTTATTAAAATCTTTTGAAATCCTCCAATGATTTCAAGTGGGGGGAAATGTTGGGACTTCCTTTTCCTTATTCCTTCCTCAATCCCCTATCCACGCCATCTGTTGACACTACGAGAAAAACTACGCGCGTATGAAAATGGCGCGAAGTGTGTGTAAAAAAAAACTAAAACATGGTGCCGGTGCAAATACAATAAAATTGTGATTTGTTGATCAATCAGCACATATAACTCTCGCCAGTGAGAAAACTTTAATAGTGCATCAACGAAATACAGAGTGAGTCCTAAAACTTATCCTTTTTCCAGTCCCAAACATCTAAATTCAAAACAACAATAACAATGAATTCAGACAATAACAATAAATCTGGACATTGTCAATACCAGGAGACAAGCCGATCATCGAGTTCAGTTCAGAGAATTAGAATATCACTCGTCTCACAGAGCGGTGTGGCGTTCGTTGTCTGACAATAAATGTGGGCATTGTCAATACCAGGAGACAAGCCGATCGCGACTTCAATTCAGAGAATTAGAATATCACTCGTCTCACAGAGCGGTGTGGCGTTCGTTGTCTGACAATAAATCTGGACATTGTCAATACCAGGAGACAAGCCGATCGTCGAGTTCATTTCAGAGAATTAGAATATCACACGTCTCACAGAGCGGTGTGGCGTTCGTTGTTTGACAATAAATCTGGACATTGTCAATACCAGGAGACAAGCCGATCATCGAGTTCAGTTCAGAGAATTAGAATATCACTCGTCTCACAGAGCGGCGTTCGTTGTCTGAACGTGCGCACCGCGGCGAAGGACGCGAAAATTACATTAATTAACGTGAATTGAAACTAAACTTGTTAATTGGCTATTGACTGTGTGTTCACTTGTTATTTGCAGTCTTTATAAGTATTTTTTTTAATTCCCTACATGAGTGAATGAGATCACCACCACCATCACGGACCACCCGCTGATAAGGGTTTACTAGCTTGAAACATGATGTCAAAATCTAAAATTTATTTTGTGTATGCTAGCTCACATCCCAACAATTTTTATTTAAAATAATTAAATAAGAAAATTCATTGGTCGTTTAATTCGTCCTTAAAATTTTTTCCTACCTATTCTAGTACACTCGAGGGGTTATGCTAGATTCGCAGAACGAGTAGGTGAGCTCACGGGGCTCTAACCTGACGACGTTGCTAACACTGACCCTTACAAGAGCAGTGATTCGCAGAATCTACCACTGGATCGGAAACGCGACCCACTGAGAAGATCCGGCGAGAAACTCAGTGGGCTGTGTCTATGGGTTAATTCGCTCATCGAGCCTTTCGTCGCAAGCGACGGGTTCGATGAGGACGGTGACCGGTGCTCGTGGTACCTAAAAACACCGTTAATGGATCGGGAGGATCCGTAATGACGTGTTTTGGGCGACGTCGACAAGGCTACCAGTGAATAGGTAGGGAAAATAAATGTTCGTAAATCGTTTCTGAGTAACATTTACCTCTACTTTGGCTGCGTTATAGAACTGGTAGAGCGGCTCGTGCGTGAACAGCGACCGGGGGAGCGGCGAGGCGGGGTGCGACCCTGAAGATGCGCCGGAGGATGTCGAGAGGTTCCCGGCTTGGTACAGACCTGCTTCCGCGTACCTGCAGACGAAACAGCATTCTTATGAACGTTTTTTTTTATTGCACCTGGTGTTAAGTGGTTACTGGAGCCCATAGACATCTAAATGCGCCACCCACCTTGAGATATAAGTTCTAAGATATCAGTATAGTTACAACGGCTGCCCTACCCTTCAGGCCGAAACGCATTAGGTACTGCTTCACGGCAGAAATAGTCAGGGCGGTTTTTTTTTACGTTTTTAAAACGTGCGTAGAATTTGAGCTATGATTAAAAACATTATTTTAGTTTAATCTCATTTTTATTTATTAATCTATTTATTAATACGTGGAGCATAAACTATGAACACGTTTTTACGAAAATTGCGCGGACGGAGGAGCATGAAATTTCCCACACTTATAGAGAATATGTAGAGAAGTAGTGCAGAATGTTAATATTTTTTTAAATTATGCATAAAAAATACATTAAATCAATAAAAAAAACATTACACACACACGCATGCATACTATTTGTTTATTGTCAAACTTTTCTTATTGCCTATAGTCTGTGGTCAAATTGAGAATATCTTAAATATTGTTTGTCTTTCATAATATTTGTCTAAAGTGTAGTCTTAAAGAAATCTGTGATTATAGAATTATAAGTCTTTGACAATAGAATCATAATAGTGTACAAACTTATAATTTCAATTAAATATAGTCGAATTTCGACTACCAGGGGACCACTAGTTAAAGTAACTAAAGGTATATTACGACAAAAAAAAAAACATCAAATTAATCAACTACTAAGTTTAATGCAGGTTTGAAAGATCATAAAAGTTATGTTGGTATAAAATAAATTAAAATACCTAGAAGACGAAACCGTAAAAGCGTTTTAAATCTTAATTTTATTTTCCAAAGATTATTATTACCTACATAGCTACTATTTCGTAGCGCTATTACACACAGGAAATGACTTGAGAACGCCAATTTGAAATTTAGAATTGTCATTGCTACTCTTATATCTAGATACGCTGGCACACGAGTCGAACATGAGTTGATACCAATAAATTTCATAAATAGCTATTTTTTTTTTTTTTTTTTTTTATTGCTTAGATGGTTGGACGAGCTCACAGCCCACCTGGTGTTAAGTGGTTACTGGAGCCCATAGACATCTACAACGTAAATGCGCCACCCACCATGAGATATAAGTTCTAAGGTCTCAGTATAGTTACAACGGCTACCCCACCCTTCGAACCGAAACGCATTACTGCTTCACGGCGGAAATAGGCGGGGTGGTGGTACCTACCCGTGCGGACTCCCAAGAGGTCCTACCACCAGTGATTACGCAAATTATAATTTTGCGGGTTTGATTTTTATTACACGATGTTATTCCTTCACCGTGGAAGTCAATCGTGAACATTTCTTGAGTACGTATTTCATTAGAAAAATTGGTACCCGCCTGCGGGATTCGAACACCGGTGCATCGCTACACACGAATGCACCGGACGTCTTATCCTTTAGGCCACGACGACTTCGAAGCTACCCGTTAACACAAGCCCGTTGGTGTGTAAGTTCAAAGAGTGACGACCGTAAACCTATAAAATGCGAGACTTGCAAGTTGGTTTGCAGATTGATTAACCAGAAGATACCTTAATAAAAATGTGTATATATTAATTTAACATTATTATTTAGTATTTAACTTTAATCACGATAAATGAGGTGCTGTTGACCTCAGTAGTAATCCGAATAATCTTTTTAAGCGTCAACAAAATTTTAAGCCGTCAAACCGGAATTATATAATATCTGTCTATAATCTGTCGTCCTCTGACATCTAGCGTCGTTGTTTCGTACCAGATTTTGCAATACTATGTAGTTCAGAGGACTGATTAAAAATATTTTTACGGAAATCTAACTAGTTCTTGTACATTTCATTCTCAACAACTATCCGTATTGGCTTGAGAGAGTAATTTGGTAAAGCATGAAAGTATTTTTTTTTATTGCCCTTGTAGGCAGACGAGTACACGGCCCACCTGATGGTGAGTGGTTATCGTCACTCATGGACGTCAGCAATGCCAGGGGCAGAGTTCAGCCGCTGCCTTCTAATACTCTCCACAAGCCTTGTTTGAAGAAAGAAGATTTGAATTCCTATCCGTGAAAACCCAAGATTGTACTATTCTTGGCTTCTCGACCAAGTCGTTCAGAAGTTATCGTTTCAAAACGTTCGCTATTCATAAGGAAATTAGTCGACAAAATTTAGCGGGATGGTAAACCATTATCTAATCAGTCGAAGAATCCGGAAGATTACGTGCAATATCTCGGAATATCATCGACCGTTTCCTGTTTGTATCAATAAAAAATAATTTGTTTATTAATTCGCGTTAATAATTTAATTTGTTTTTTTTTTTTTCCTACCTAAGCTGATAGCCCTAGCGGCTATGTCAGCGTAACCCTAACTTTAGTAGGTGAGCTCACGGGGCTCAAACCTGACGATGTTGCTAACACGAACCCTAGCAAGAGCCGTGCTTCGCAGAATCTACCACCGGATCGGAAACGCGACCCACTGAGAAGATCCGGCGAGAAACTCAGTGGGCTGTGTCTGACAGTTAATTTACTCGTCGAGCCCTTCGTCGCAAGCGACGGGTTCGACGAGAACGGTGACCGGTTAATTTAATAGTATACATATTTAATCATAATATTTTTATAATTTTGAAAACTCCCGTACTACACTATCATGTATTTGACACACACACATATGTATGTATATACTCTATGTTTATTGTCAAACTTTTGATAACAAAAGATTGATACCAAAAAAAAAAAAAATTAAAAAATTGAAATTCAACAAAAAAATTAAAAATAAGTAATAGTTTAAAAAAAGCGTGAGGTGCATGGTATAAGTAGTTATAAATATTTTATGAACAGATATGAGTAGAAGGGTTATTTTGATAATATCCTGAAAAGCACCCCACGCTTTTTTACAATAAAATCATTTTTTCTTACTCTATTTTTAATTCAAATTTATTAAAATTTATTTTCTATTATTTTAGTTGGATTTTCTATAAAAGCGTATTTTGTTAGTTTTTTTAAACTATTATTTATTTTTCATTTTTTAGTTGAATTAAAATTTTTTAAATATTTTTTTAAATATCGAATTGTCATCGGACCTTAACAAGTATACTAAATTTCGAGTTAATCCGACGTTTTGAAGGGGGTTAAAAGATTCCGTTACAAACATACATACATACGTCTGAAGCTAATAAAAGCGTATTAATGATTGATTTCCACAGACAAATATAACGGCCATCGAGACATTAACGAGTTACCGAAAGGTTCCCTTTCGAATTTAAATTTATGGGGTCAAGTATGATCACAGCAGCTGCGGTACACGCGAGCCGTTGCGACAATTTGATTTCGTTGTTTTTTTTTTCAGTCGTATTTAAAAACACTATTCACGTACCCGATTACAGTAACACAAAATCACAATGATACACACAAAACTTATCGAAAATAAACCAGAGAGTATTCAAACTAAAAAGACAGGTGTCTGTACGTAAAGTCGCACTTCACACAACGCCCAGATAAGTACGATGAGCGTTTTCTACACAATTGATAACGCAATTCAAAATAGGACACGAAAAATAAACTTCAAATAGTACTGAATTGAATGGTGTTTTAAGTGTCGAGAGTTTGAGTGCAACCGCCGACCCGACCAACGGTCGTCTGACCACGCACATAATAGCAGAATTAAGTTAGGGCTTGGTCCGAGTTGGAAGCGAGTAGCGACACACCCGAGACGCTTCGTAATTCGCTCTTTACAATGTCCGTATTATGTGGTCTCCCGTTGTGGCTGTCATTTTAGTATTTCCTTCGGTTTTCGCGTGTCGTAGACGCAATTAATTTTTATTTATTTATAGATGAGTGGACGAGCTCACAGCCTACCTGGTGTTAAGTGGTTACTGAAGCCCATAGACATCTACAACGTAAATGCGCCACTCACCTTGAGATATAAGATCTAAGGTCTCGAGTATAGTTACAACGGCTGCCCTACCCTTCAGACCGAAACGCATTACTGGTTCACGGCAGAAATAGGCAGGGCGGTGGTACCTACCCGCGTGGACTGACAAGAGGTCCTACCACCAGTAGGACTTACTTTTACGTTTTTTATTGTCATAATAATATTATTTCCGAAATTTCGTATACTTTTTCGTGTTTACAGTTTTCTACTTCTAAGTACTTCGTTTTTACAGTTTTCGTGACCACTTACGGACGACTGACTTTTAGTTTTATAATTACGCTTTAATTAACAACGCTATCCTGATTAGTTTTTGACACCTTTTAGAGGTTTAAGAGGAGACACGTTGCAGTGGAATTGAGAATAAAAATTGCTTTGTTGTTTACGAAATATAAATTTAATATCTTGTTAATAATTTAGTTTTATTTCGATTTTGCGGTTCAATGAACTCTGAAATTCACTGTTTGCTAGATGCCAGTAGTTGCTTTATACGGATGTGTTTAATTTAATACCAAGGGATCGCCAAAGTATGAAACATTCCACGTGACTTCACATCGTAAAGTATAAAACATTATCGTTGGAAAACAAGAGTCTATTCACAGCCGTATCTTGGGTTAAAACGTTTTAATAATTGAATATCATAGCGTCTTTGAATGAGTTCATGGCTTCATGGCTTGCACCGAACCCCGGAGGTACAGAAACTGGATGGTGAGTCATCGTTACGGATAATACCGAGGTGATGCGTCCGCGGGCTGAGTAACGTTCGTCGCGATATCAAGGGAATGAATAAAACGCATAACAACACACTTGTCAAAAGGGAAATATAATAGGCGGGAAAGAGGGTCGCCTTGTGGCTAGTCCGTCGGACATGTGAGACCCGCATCGATAGAGACCTCTGGAGTCCGAGGCGAAAACGCTTCGCTAATATATTTTTACTGTTTTTAATATAGCAAAGGTAGAACCCGAACTCGTGCGGCTCATATCTAGTGGTTATATCAGTAACTATAGATATCTTTTTTTATTTATTGCCTTGATGGATGGACGAGCTCACAGCCCACCTGGTGTTAAGTGGTTACTGGAGCCCATAGACATCTACAACGTAAATGGGCCACCCACTTTGAGATATAAGTTTTAAGGTCTCAGTATAGTTAAAGTTGTTTAAATATATCATTTAAAAGAGCGTGTCTTATTTTGTATAGTAATATAGGTTTTTTCAATGAATAACATTTCCACTGATAAACTCTACATCGGGAATAACTCGGTACGCTCGTTATGTGTCATTTTATTACGACGAATTTATGATGTGATGTGTGACGTACTTCGTGTTTATTTGTTTGTTGTCTCCAATCGTTATAAAACTAAAATATTCAAAAGGTGTTTTTTTTATTTTATTGCTTAGATGGATGGACGAGCTCACAGCCCACCTGGTGTTAAGTGGTTACTGGAGCCCACAGACATCTACAACGTAAATGCGCCACCCACCTCGAGATATAAGTTCTAAGGTCTCAGTATGTTACAAGTGGTGTTTTCTCAATTGTGTTTTTTTTGGTTATTGCGTATGAAATATTTCTTTAAGCTCTTTTTAAAACCCCGTTTCAAGATCGCGGTCTTTAGAACACAATAATGGCAGCTGAGTCATTTTATACTTTTAAAATATTTAATGTGTCTATTGTATATAAAAAAACAGTGTAATTATTTGTCTACTAGCTGACCCGGCAGACTTCAATAAACATAAAACAAACAAAAAGAATCCGTCCGACGGGGGACACATCAAGGGAAAAACAAAATTGATATTTTTATTTAATTCCGAGCATTTTCATTCATTTATCTATCTTTTAAACCTTCTCTGGACTTCCACAAATCATTCAAGACCAAAATTAGCTAAATCGGTCCAGCCGTTCTCGAATTTTAGCGAGACTAATGAACAGCAAATCATTTTTATATAATATAGATAGATAGATAACTATACTTGAGACCTTAGAACTTATATCTCAAGGTGGGTGGCGCATTTACGTTGTGGATGTCTATGGCCTCCAGTAACCACTTAACAACAGGTAGGCTGTGAGCTCGTCCACCCATCTAAGCAATAAAAAAAAATTTACAACAAAAAACCAAACGTACACATATGTGCCAATGTACCGGAAGAGGTTACGCTGAAACCGTTTCGCGGGTCAGCTTGAGCCGGTGCATTCGACACGGTCGAGCGGCTGGCCCCGGCGACGGTAACAGTACCGCGGGCCTGTTGCCAACCCGACCGGAATCGCAGACGTTGCGCAAGTGAGACGTTTGTCGCCGGCCGGCACGCGAGTCGTGTACCGTGTAATCGATTTTGTTTTTAACCGACTTCAAAAAAGGAGGATATATATAGATAGATAGATAGATAGATAACTATACTTGAGATCTTAAAACTTATGTCTCAAGGTGTGTGGCGAATTTACGTCGTAGATGTCTACGGGCTCCAGTAACAACTTAACACCAGGCGGGCTGTGAGGTCCTCCATCCATCTAAGCAATAAAAAAAAATTCGACTGTATGTTTTTTTTTATGTTTGTTACCTCAACTTTTGACTGGGTGAATCGATTCTGATGATTCTGTTTTTTTTTTAATTAGAAACCTGACGCTTTCCGTGTGGTCCGGTTTCAATTTAGTCCAGTTCTGATAATGGTTTTTTTTTTTATTTATTTTTTATTGCTTAGATGCGTGGACGATCTCACAGCCCACCTGGTGTTATAAGTGGTTACTGGAGCCCATAGACATCTACAACGTAAATGCGCCACCCACCTCGAGATATAAGTTCTAAGGTCTCAGTATAGTTACAACGGCTACCCCACCCTTCGAACCGAAACGCATTACTGCTTCACGGCGGAAATAGGCGGGGTGGTGGTACCTACCCGTGCGGACTCCCAAGAGGTCCTACCACCGGTGATTACGCAAATTATAATTTTGCGGGTTTGATTTTTATTACACGATATTATTCCTTCACCGTGGAAGTCAATCGTGAACATTTGTTAAGTACGTATTTCATTAGAAAAATTGGTACCCGCCTGCGGGAATTGAACATCGGTGCATCGCTACATACGAATGCACCGGACGTCATATCCATGGTCTGAAACCACGACGACTTCATTGTCGACGACGTATCCATGAGAAAAGTCTTAAATTTGCATTAAGTACGTGTGCGACAAATAGGTAGATGAATAAGTCAATAGCTCAATATCACGCCAACCGATTTCGATAATTATTGTCTTTAGCGTATATTAATTTGTTTTGGAATATCTTTTTTTTCTATTTGAAGTCGGTTTTTGTTAAAGCATGTCTATTTACAATTATTCACGGCACTATTCGCTGGTAACCTAAGAGGCTATTCCAACTACGCTATGACTAGTAGTGAGGTCACGGGTTTAACCTGAGAGAATTTGCTAACACTAGCATGAACAGTGCTTCGCTGAATCTACAGGCGGATTGGAATCGCGACCCACTGAGAAGATCCAGCGAGATTGTCTTATGTTTTTAAAGCACGACTTCAATCCACTCTCGTCCAATTGGGATTGAGTCTAAATATCGTGTTATTTTTAACTTGCTTTTGTCCGCGACTCCGTCTGCTTGAAATAATTACTTTGGCATAACGCAAAATTTTACCCCCCACTTCATTTACGTAGAAAGTGAAAATATTTTTGAACTATAGAATGTTAAGGAGCTATTTAAAGCCCTATTTCAAAACATTCTTTATTGGTGTTCCACTTGTATTGGTTTTACCGTGATGTTATATCCTTCCTCCTTAGACCAGCCTATAGCCTTCCTTTATAAATGGGCTATCTAACACTGAAAGAATTTCAAGAGGAAATCAAATCGGACCAGTAGTTCCTGAGATTAGCGCGTTCAAACAAACAAACTCTTCAGCTTTATAATATTAAGTATAGATGAGATTATTTTCTTCAATAGTTCCATGCTTCTCGAACTTTACTGAACATCTCTTCGCTACCTGTGACGCGCGATATGCCACGTATTTAAAAATAGTAATTAAAAGATAGTCATGTTAATTTGTTCGCACAATGATCTAAATTCGAACATAATTACACCTCCAAAATTAAAAGCTCACGATCTCTTTATATTCATTCCACGCAATGGAACACTAACAAAAATCAGATGTCATCGCTTTAGATTGCGTATTGGCTAAACATTAATTTGCTGAATCAATAAATTACATAAGACGCTTTAAGAAATGATTAGAGGTCCCGCAGTAGTCGAAATTCGACTATAATTAATTGGAATTATAAGTTTGTACACATATTATAATCACAAATTTCGCCAAGGCTACACTATAAAAAAATATTAATAAAGACAAACAATATTTAATCTATTCTTAATTTGACAACAGACGTCAAGAACAAAAGTTTGACAATAAATAGTATGCATGCGTGTGTGCGTCAAATACATGGTATGTAGTGTGTGTAATGTTTTCTTTATTGATTTAATGTATCTTTTATGCATTATTTAAAAAAAATATTAGCATTGTGCATTTCTTCTCTATATTCTTTAGAAGTGTGGAAAATTTCATACTCCTCCGTCCGCGCAATTTTCGTAAAAAGGGATACAAAGTTTTTGCTTCACATATTAATATATAGATTATTGTTTTCAGTTTATATAGATTTTTATCTCGTTTATCTTAAGCTGGCATACTATTGCAAAATACATTGAGATGTTATTGTATGAAAACTCTCAATGTTTTTTAAAAGGAGCCTTACTGAGTGCGTAACTAATAAGACGGAGACAATCTGATGCATCCAAAGCTCAAGGTTCCCACGCCTCTGCTTCTATTTGATGATGTAACAAGCCAGTCATTGTTACCATTTGTTCTTAATGGTTAATTGGTCGATGATTTATCATCATACTTTATTTATTACATAGATAAACTACCTCACGGCTAATCAGGCTTTAAGAGGTTACCGGGGCCCATAGACACCGGAACGTCAATAGCGCCATTCGCCTTGTGACATGAGGTCGAAGCCTCAACTGTATATCAACCTCAACTGTTAGTACTAGTTTAACGATTTTTCCCTTCAGTCCGAAACGTATGACTGTTTCCCGGCATATATGTGGTAACTACCCGCGCAAGCTTACAATACGGGTTGTTTTCAATTTTGCAAATAACGATTTCATGAATTAAAAATCTTTTTCTCTAATTTTCCATTTTTTTGTATTTAGGCATGTTCAGAATAAAAAATGCTTCATCGCAATCGGCGTCAATCACTCATTTATTGATGATAATATTATATAATATTCATTTATATTTTTCATTTTACGCATTTGATAACGCCAACACGGATGACAAATTAAATAGGAACTTTTTTTAAAAGCTAAGAAATCGTACTTCTTTTGTTTTTAATAATGTTCCAATATTCAGTTGTCTTGACAACAAATTTACTGTACTTATAATTACGGTAACATTATGGTTATGAGAATTAAATCAAATAGCTCGCTTTTGGCTCCAAATTTCAAAACGACCCATACGCGGTAACCATTAGAAAACTGTTCAATCGAAGAGCTGTTCAATAGACTTGAGTAGTCTATAGCATCGGAGCCACACGCGGAAATCGTTAGCCGTTATGATCAGCTCAGTTCGGAGTAGCTTACCAGGATGTCGAGGCGGTGTTCGAAGTAGCGTCCGCTCCGCACTCAGCGTACCAGGACGTCCGGGCTCTGGGACTCTTGTCCTTGCGCGCCAACGTCGGCAGGAGTCGCTTCAGCTCTAAATATTGCATATAACACTTTAGTTTTACATCATAGTTATTTACGGTCGGCATGCATATACATTGTTTCCGGGTGATTGCATATTTACGAGCACACGCTCATTGTTGGCAAAGGTGATGGTCATAGTGTGTAATTCAAAGCATTATCTAAACGTGTTTGTCGTTCTGATTTCATTTTCCTACTCGTCGTCCATGGCTATCGTGATTTTTTTACCTTGTTCAGATAAATTGCTGATGTTGAACAATTACATATAATAATGTTTTTTTAGAAGTCATTTTGAGTCTACATAAATGAAGACTAATGTTGAATAATGTTTGCTTCTCAAAAACTAGTTTTTATTACCAAGGCCATAAAACAAATTCAATTAAAACAATTGGATTTATACAAATAAATCTGTTTTATCAATCAAGTTATAGATATGAAACCAGTCGTTATGCCTACGCGGTAATATAGAAGCCTTCATTAAATATGCAATCACATTAAATGTTTATAGTTTTACGAACGAAGCCAATATCTTGTTCAGCAGTTGAACGCATAAATATAAATTAAAATGAGAATCCGAGTTAATAAAAATAAATTTTATCTAAGATACGTAATTAATACTAGTACTTTAACTAAGCGAACAGTCGCCGTGACCACGGAAACTGTAAACCATTCCAAACATTGCCAATAATATAGTGACCATAAAACGCGAGAATACACCGTAAAATTAACTTTAATAATGTCCACGTCTCGAGACAACTGAAGAACATACTAAGAGCATGACGCTCGTTTGGTTCACTACATATGTACGTATTACGTAACGATATATAAATATATTTGTGTTAAAGATTGCTGTCTAAGCAGTAATATAGTGTACCTATTTACCATCCTCATTACCGGGTAATACCATATATGTGGTAGGTATTACCAGGTAATGAGGATGAAAGATGCTGGTATCGAAAAAATATCTTCCAAGGTCTCAAGCTAAAGTCAATTTGTTACGTTTTTAAGTGACATGGTCATTATGCCTTATTATTATTATTTTAATCGCAATTAACCAGAATCATAAAACATAATGTTTATATTAAAATTGTTTATCATAGCCCTGTTTTAATTTATGTTTGCGTAAATTAATCGTACTCTGCACGTTGTTTACGACAATTTATAAATCAATCATATTGGCTTCGATTGAAATCTAAATAAACATTACGAAACAGAGCGATAATTAATTGTTCATTAAATTTAATAGCACATATAAGGCATTCATTAAAAGTACTTTTAAGGTTTTATTTCGTATTTTTTATTGTCACTACACGATGGTCGCCCGTGACCACGAAAACTGTAAAAATCGTAAAAGTAATTTTAATTGTGTCTACACGGCTCACGAAAAACGAAGAAAATACAGTACATATTACAAATATTAAACTGGAATATTTATAAAAATACTTTTCGTAACAATATTTACAAAGCTAGTAGTTAGTAAGCTACTATTAGCTAAAAAAATATCGTAGGCAAAAAAAAAAAAACTACAATAACTAGATCCTTTATTTGAAGACGCGAGTATATTATAATAAATATTTTTGATAATACATCCACTTTTGCACCTATCAAAAATTAATTTACCGATTTGGCACAAAGACGCTCTCTCTGGTCTGCAAGAAGGAAATTCCAACTTCATAGCTTACTTACGAATTTTTACATAAGTCATACAATACTAATTCGAACTACGCGGTCTATAAGGTCGTGAGCGCTTCACGAGAAGTTTACCGTGTAGGATGTATTAAAAAAATTATTTAATCTAACCCATTCGCGTCTTCAACAAAGCACGTAAATTAATCAGCATGAACGAGAACTTATTATTAACTACTTACTTTTGTCATTAATTCTAGATAGCCTTAACAAGTGATCATAAAGTGTAATTTCAAGTACAATGACGTCACACACATGCAATTACCTTGTGCATACCTCATTAGTCTAACATGCGCACATGCAATACACGAATTCTTAGCCGTTCATAATGTTATATGAATATATCAGCCAAAAGATTAAGTATTATTTACTAAATCAAAATAAATTCATAATGCTATCCGCTAAATCGTGTTAAAATAAGATTATTAAAAACACTTTTACGGTTTAATTTTGCGTGTTTACACTTTTTAACAAGATAAACCTTAGTCCACCGTGACCAAGAAAACTATTAGTTTTGTAAATTGAATTCCGAATTCACAAAAATAAATAAATAGTAACAAATATTATTCAGATAATTTATTTATTTTTACTGTCCATTGTTAGTTTATTGCTAGATAATGAAAATGAAAAATGAATTGATATTAATTGTTAAAAAAATTGATATACTTCTAATTGAGTCACAGACGCCATCTTTAAATTATATAATCTATACTAATCACGGTCACAATTAACTAAGATTAATTTAACGACATCACGTATGTCTACGAAGAGGTTAAGTTACAAATCTTACTAACATACTAACATTGCTACCTGCCAACCTAGCTAGGTATGCTAGCTACGTTTCTCGGTATTCGGGTATAACGATATTTTTTAAATTAACTATTCCTACTCGAGGTTTATTCCCCTTTCACGAATCAGCAACCAAAAGCAGTTTCGGCCATATTAAGGACATATTTTACAATCACTTTAATACACAAACGAATATTTCGAGAACTAACCAATTTAATAAATAATACCTACACTTGGTAATCAGTTTCTATATGTTATCTAATAAAACAATACCGCGACGACGCATCTCAGGTTAATTAGAACGTAAAACTAAACACACTTTAGAGTTGAGCAATGGCCGATTTCAAACGCAAATGAAGTGCACTAAGAATGCGCGTATTGCAATTTAAGAAGGGAAACAAACAAACTCACGACCCATTTCTAGCGATAAACAAGACATTAAACAGACAGTCCACCTTTGAGGTTCCGAGAACGCGCATCATGCGACAATATAGAGAGGCGACTGAGGAAAAAACAAGACAAGACTCTAGCGCTCCACAGCGAAGCGAATTATGCAAGCGCTCAACACAGTTCAACTACAATGCTTAATGACTTTAAATGTACTATGAAGTAAATAATACATAGATCGTGTAGGACGAGAACAAAGGAACGTTCTTGTTGAATCTTAGAACGCGAGCTGTCGACATATCGACTCTCTATTAATGCGTATAAAGTGGGGAGCGTCGGAATACCGACTATTACAGAGTTTTCATTTTTTATTTATTAAATAAATACAGTTATAGTAACAAATATGTTTCATTTGGGTAGAGTGATATGTCTCTTACACATAACAGAAATAGTTACGCAAATCCATCCATATTTAAGGAAAATAATTAAGATTCTGTGCACACTAAATGAGTAAGGTAAAATTTAGCATTCAACACAGTCGCTAGAAGGGTTAAATCGTCTTGATGGCGTAAAAGTGTTTACCGGGACCATTATCGTGCAAATGAAAAGCATTCTAAGATCTGCCAGTGCGAAGTGGAGAGACTGAATTTCCTTCTGTCAAAAACAAAGTGAGTGTATCCATAGAGAATCCAGACATGGCGAACCAAATAGACCGGATTTGAATAATCAAGGTAATAGACAAAACAGAACTTCGCTTTTGACTGGTCATTTAAAGAAGTGACAGTATTCAATAATTACTGTAGCATTGACAAACTGGTTCTTTTTTTAATTACCATTGTAGACAGACGAGCATACGGACCACTTGATTGTACGTAGTTACTGTCGCTCATGGGCATCAGCAATGGCAGGGGTTGTTCATTGCTACCAAATGTGTGAGCGTGAAACGTAAGGACTTTTACGAGTTTTCAAAAAAATAAAATTATAAAGTACCGCCATATCTGGTAGATTAGTGAAAGATATAAACGCCACCAAAAGATCGTTTTACACAAGACAGACGATCACAGAGAAACGGAAAAGTTTGTGAATGAAAACAAAGACAGTGCAAACATACAATAGTTGTGCGTACCAGAAAGCGACCACACCGCTCTCGCTTCGTTGGCGCCAATAATTATCATCGGTTCGAATACGATTGTTTACTTGTAATTGTATTTTTTGACTTGTTTTTTCTTTTATTGTAAATATTTTTATTTATTTTAAAAAAAAAGAAAATATTTGAGAAAAAAAAAAAAAAAAAAAAAAGCCCGCTGAGTTTGTTTCGCCGGTTCTTCTCAGGACTGTGGCTTTTTTTGGAACCGGTGGTAGAGTTAACATTGTTATTTGTATTTTGACATTCAACAAGTGTGTCATACTGACATCTAAGTTGAAATAAATGATTTTGGATTTGAATTTGAACTTAATAGGCACAACTTATTACATACGTATGTATGTTTTGCTTTTGTTTTCTTTACATGTACAGCTGTCCTGATTTTGTCTCGTCTTTAAAACGGTAATGTACTGCGAAAGGGCCCTTGTCATTTAAACTTCAATTGTCGTAAGCATAGATAATAAATATTTAAAAAAAAGTTTAATGTGACTTGAGTTTTGGCAAAGGTCTTAATCGATTTTTTTGTGACGTCATAATGTTATTTTTTTTCGACTTCATTAATGGACATTGTAACGTGCACGTATTCACGAACTTTTTTTTTAATTGCCCTTGTGGGCAGACGAGTATACGGCCCACCTGATGGTGAGTGGTTACCGTCGCCTATGGACTTCAGCAATGCCAGGGGCAGAGCCAAGCCGTTGCCTACTATCTAAGGTGAAGGAATAACAATCCTGTCTATTTCGGCCGCCAAAAATATTATAGAATATAATTGAGACTTCGATCCATGTCTGAAAGTGGGTGGGCGAGATTCACGTTCTAATGTCTCTGGGCTCTGACAGTCGCTTAGCTTAATACCAGATTGACTGAATTATTGAAACGCGCGTTGTCTTTTTCATTCAAAAATAGTTTGCAATATGACCGAAAGAGACAAACTGATGCAGAGTAGATCTAGTTAGATCGTGATGCACGGCTGGTTTACAATAGCAGCAAGCAGAAGGTTGATACTAGACCGGTCAACTGCTAAAAACTTTGCAAATAATGAAGTTAATTCAAATAACTTTTTCAGCTGTATCCATAAAGTTCTTGATATGATTCATTTTGTGCGTCCATGGATTTGATTCATTTGCAATTGACGCTAATTGCTAATTGACGTAAACCTACAGTTAATCTTCAACAAAATAATATTTTGGTCTGCTAGGGTTCGACGTCTTAACATTTTTTGAATTTATTAAAATACTTGTCGTTATAGTAATTTTTGTGAGCACGCAATGTAGAGCAAAAGTCGTAGTCAACTTAAGAGAACGGTGACCCCGCGTATCAGCTGTTTTTTTATTTGTTCATACACTTCGCTGAATGTGTTAGAAAAAAATTACAGTTTTGAGAAAACGATAGTGAAGTTTATGTTTTGTATTAAAGAGCCAATGGACCTATCGCCTGCCTTAGTATGGTAACCCAAATAATTTGATTCGAATTTTAATTTTAATTTTCATTTAATATTATATTACATAATTATATTTATTGTTCAACTTTATTGTCTTGCAGTGTACATTTTAAATACGTCAAGAAATTATCGTATTCAATCCAATGATATTTACTAGCGTCCAATGGAAGTCACTGACCTCTGTTAGCGCTGTCTTCGTTTGTCAATTAAATTTTATTTTATCTATAGAAATTAATGCGTTGCATTATCTCTATGATTGACAGACGTCAACTGAACCTCCTGTACAGATTAATTTATTTATTAAATAAAACGCCTCTTTGACATATTTGGAAAATTTAATCTCTCTTTATTATTAAGGAAAGGAAAATATCCTTGAATATATATTTATTAGAATAACTTATATCTTTGTGAGAAAACATTATATTCTGTTATATTAAAATATTTGGAGGAACAAGAAAATACTTAGAAGATAAGATAGTATATAGTTAATGAATTATCTTGGTTGGTTGGTAAAAATTATAAGTTGGGTCCCAATAACACAAAGAGCTTCTTCAATATCTAAAACTTAGCGGTGGTATTCTCCTACGTATTTTCCAGGAAATAAGGTTTTTTGTTTGTTTATAAAATGTAGGAATAGAACTAGTTTAGCCCTACTAATGCGGTATTTAAAAAGTCCTATCGAGACGTCTCAACAAGCCAATATGCTCAAACTTTAATGAAACAAGCACACTATTTTAATGAAGATATTATATGTCTATCAATCAAAAGTAGCACAAATTTAGAAATACCAACAATAAATTCACTGTACAGAAATGTTAATTTATCATCCGATTTTAGATTTTTTTTCTTTTTTTTATTGCCCTTGTAGGCAGACGAGCGCACGGCCCACCTGATGGTGAGTGGTTACCGTCGCCCATGGACTTCATGGGAGTTAATAGAGTTATTAGAGTTAATTTAAATCTACCCTCAAAACTAGAAAATCGTTAGAGTCTCATCGAAAACTTAGCAATCGAAATCTGTACACGACCAAATGTCAGGTTGACGTCCGTTACCTTCGTTGACAGCGCTAATGTCAGTGGGCGGGGGCGGGGGCGGGACGGAGGGGCGCTCCAGAGCGAGGCACGGGGTCGACTCGTAGCGGAGCGTACCTTCTCCGCGGCGGGACGGGGGGGTCTCGCTGCTGCTGGCCTGGCCACCGTCGCTGCTGAACCGATTGCACATGTCAATAATATCCACAGCTTTTGTTTATTATTATTAATAATAAATTGACATTTCACATCACTATTTTAATATGTCAAAACGGCCATCATAGCTTGGCGATAGTGTAGTTCAGTATAGGATACCAAGAATATTATAACTACATAGTATAAAACAAAGTCGCTTTCTCTGTCCCTATATCTATGTATGCTTAAATCTTTAAAACTACTGACTCCTGTGACGCCTGTGACTGGCTCCTGCGCGATCAGGATACATTAACCTATTATCGAATAAGAGGCATAAGTTAATGAACTAGTTCAATGAGAACGTACTTGAGGCTTTAACAAGTGAAATATTACTTTGCTTTGATCAGAGCCTCTCGGACAATCTGCGTTCATTTATCTTTAAAACTGCTGAGACAAACATAACAACAGTTCAAGTGTGATAGTTACAAAACTGATAGCGTATACAGAAGCCAGCTTAAATTTGCCATTTCATTATTAGGCTATTGAAAATGACTAGGAATTGCTAATCGTAAATTTATTAGTAAACATTTCAGTTTGCGATCGTAACAAATAATGTCAGAATTTTTCTGATTGCCAGTCAATGGAAAGCCCCAATGGCTCACGTAATCTACTTAGTCTGACCACAAATACTGTTATAATTAAAAATAAACAAAATATTGCATTTGAATTTGGAATCTGTCATTTTTATATGATTGCTCATTGAGTTTTCTCATTTTGGCGCCAATACATTGTACAATATTTTGCGATATTAAAATGGAGTGGGGTGATAAAGATAACCGAATCACTGTGATTGCATTACACAAAGTAGGTATGGAGCCAAATGCAATTTTTAAAACTCTCCATACGCTTGGTATTAGTAAAATGTTTGTGTACCGGGCTATTAATAGGTCCAATGAGACCTCCTCTGTTTGTGACAGAAAAAGATCTGGCCGTCCACGTAGTGTTCGTACGAAAAAGGTGGTCAAAGCAGTAAGGGAAAGAATTCGAAGAAATCCTGTCCGAAAGCAAAAGATTTTATCTCGGGAGATGAAGATAGCACCTAGAACCATGTCGCGTATTTTAAAAGATGACTTAGGACTTGCAGCCTATAAGAGACGTACTGGTCATTTCTTAACTGATAATTTAAAAGAGAATAGGGTGGTAAAATCGAAACAACTACTGAAGCGGTACGCAAAGGGAGGTCATAGAAAAATTTTGTTTACGGATGAGAAATTTTTTACAATTGAGCAACATTTTAACAAACAAAATGACCGTATTTATGCTCAAAGCTCTAAGGAAGCTTCCCAATTAGTCGACAGAGTGCAACGTGGGCACTATCCGACTTCAGTGATGGTTTGGTAGGGTATTAGCTATGAAGGAGTGACTGAGCCATACTTTTGTGAAAAAGGTATCAAAACATCGGCACAAGTGTATCAAGATACCATTCTTGAGAAGGTAGTGAAGCCCCTTAACAACACCATGTTCAATAATCAAGAATGGTCCTTCCAGCAAGACTCGGCGCTAGGTCATAAAGCTCGGTCTACGCAGTCTTGGTTGGAAACGAACGTTTCGGACTTCATCAGAGCTGAAGACTGGCCGTCGTCTAGTCCCGATCTTAATCCGCTGGATTATGATTTATGGTCAGTTTTAGAGAGTACGGCTTACTCTAAACGCCATGATGATTTGGAGTCCCTAAAACAATCCGTACGATTGGCAGTGAAGAATTTTCCCATGGAAAGAGTGCGTGCTTCTATTGATAACTGGCCTTAACGTTTATTTATTTTTCATTTTTTAGTTGAATTTCAATTATTTAAATTTTTTTTCAATTTTTTTTCAAATTTTTTTTCATTTTTTTTTAGTATACAATTGTCATTGGTCCTCGATAAATCTACAAAGTTTGGATGAAATCTGGTCGCTTAAAATGTGTCAAAATCGCGTCAAAAGGAGTCAGTTACAAACATACATATATACATACAAGTGAAGCTAATATAAAGCGTGTAAAAAGAACAAAGGACCAGAACTCACCAATTGCTGAAACCGGAGTCGCCGTCCATTGAGTCGGTCAAATAAAAAGTGGAATTGGTGATCTTCAAAGCGCTTGGGACATCGTTAATGTCGACGGCCAACGATGTCGCTCTTCTGAAGCGGGATTTGAACGAAAAGTACGCTTTCCTCGACAAAGTTCCGCTGTCCTTCTTCATGTCACAAGCCGAAGCCATTGGTCTCTCCGGCGGAGGTTTTTCCGGTAACGGAGGTGGCACATCACTAATGTTCGGCCTTTTTTCGCTTACTGCATATTTCAGCTCTTCTTGGAATTCAGCTTTCACGGGATTCTCCGCTTTATTGAGTACAGGTTTCGTGTCGTTGAAGCTGATATTGCTGTAAACGTTCTGGATTTCTGGCTTCTCGTAGTTAGCGTATATTGGTGTTTTTTTCGTTTTCGTTGGCGCTTCGTACGTTCCGTTTTGTGATGATTTAGTGAACGACTTCCCGTCCATTGCGACTGTTGAAAACAAAAACTTATAATAATAATAATAATAATAATAATTACATTAATTTTCTCCGCAATACAAATAACTTTTCAATTTATATGACCTAAATTTCTAATTCTATCTAAGTAATTTTACAATATATTAATTATAGTGGCAGTGGAGATAAAAAGGCCGCGGCTCAGCTTTGTGATAGCTGAAACTATCGCTGCTATTCTTCTGCTGCCTATAATTTTAATATATAAACTAATCTAATATTATATAGTCAATGAATTACTGACGTTGAGAGTAGATAGAATTTTTTTTTTTTTTATAAATAAATAAATAATAAATAAATATTTACTAACAGTCACGCCACGTTAAATGGTCCCGTGATAAGTTCGTAAAGAACTTGTGTTACAAGTACCAGATAACGGAAATAAATATAAGATTTTTATTTTACACATACACATATTTAATATACATCCATAACCCTGGAAAATACATTTATATTTATCATACAAATATCTTCCCTTGGCGGGATTCGAACCCGCGACCCCCTTGTGTAGTGACCATGTCACTTACCACTACATGCTCGAATTTCTACCGAATTTCGTCTGGTGAACACAAACACTGGTATCATCAACTTTTTATACAGAAACGGTGACTATTCCAAAAGGCATGTCGAGAGTTTCTAAAGATTTTAGATATGAAAAAATTTAGTATGTAGAACATTTTTTTTTTTTCACAATATGTATTTAAATTTAATGATAATGGTAACAAATAAATGGAGACATATCGTCATATATCCACGAGTTCTTTGTAGACAAAGCGTTTGAAATTACAACTTATCTCTCTAAACAAATTATTCTAACATGTTATATTATAATTATTAGTCTAGAAGTCGAGAAACAAAGAAAAAACTATATACGGATTAGCATAACAGAGATTTTTTCAGCAAATTTTTGTTTAATACTATGAGAAAAACGAAAACATTTGGAGCAAAAGAATTATCAAGTTTTGATAACCAGTACTGGAGTTTATAATTTTTTTTTTTCATCAAATAATTTATAGAATATGTAATAATTTCTATTAAAATGGATCATAAAATTCACTATAATAAGTAGATCCGATATGGTCTAGTGGCTAGGATACCTGGCTCTCACCCAGGAGGCTCGGGTTCGATTCCCGGTATCGGAATACTTTTTGCACTTTTTTCTCAGTAAATATCATTCGCGTAGAGCATTAGTATAGCAGTCTTGATTTTAAGAGGTAATTGTCTTGAATTTTTTACCTGAATATCTTTTTGTTAAGTTTCGTTTGATTGATTTCATTGTTCGCTGGGCGGCGCTGGCTATCTTGGTGAGTGTATATTGTCCACCGCTAGGTGGCGTTGGTAGCTTCGAAGCCGGCAACGGCGGAGCCTGAGCGTACGTAAGTGTCTGGAAAATACAATAGAAATTATAAATAAATAAAAAAAAACAGATAGAAAATTTGTCTAGAATATTGGTATGTGTTTATTTTTAACTCTTTTATTCTGCTTCTGACATTTTTTCCCTATCTATTCACTGGTACTTCAAGGGGCTATTTCAGCTACGCGCGGACGGGGCTCAGCCTGGAGAATTTGCTAATACTAGCCCTAGCGAGAGCAGTGCTTCGCAGAATCTACCACCAGATCGGAAGCGCGACCCACTGAGAAGATCCGGCGAGAAAGTCAGTAGGTTATTTTCTGCAGTTTTTCGAAAGTTATTGTTTTGGCGCCATCGTCTCATGAGCCACGAGCTATCTTCGTTTCTATACCCTCGACGCAGTTTCTTACCGGTTTAGTTTTTATTTTTTTCAAAGGCGTCTTAAGACTGTGTAGCGCCCGTGTAATGATTGCACTCTAACGCCCTCTAGTGAACGCGCGGTCAAAAGGTATAATAAGTCCAAACGCAACACTTCTTGCCCACTGAGTTTCTCGCCGGATCTTCTTAGTGGGTCACGTTTCCGAACCGGTGGTAGCTCTTGCTAGGGTTAGTGTTAGCAACGTCGTCTGGTTTGAGCCCCGTGAGCTCACCTACTCGTTCTGCGAATCTAGTATAAGTCCTCAAGGTTACTAGAATAGGTAAAAGCGGTTCGCAATTGCTGATTGCGAGCCGCTGAATTGATTGATTGAAACCGCTGCGTCCACACCCTGGACCATAGCTATGGCTTCCTCTAATTAATGTACAATTAATTAGTATTTTTTTTTATGTTTGAAGTATTGACTGGTGGCCTGGAGGCCCCTCCAGTTTCACCAGGACAGGTGGGCGAGCAAAGGCGTCATTAATCTCCTCAGTAGGCAAAGGGAAATAAAAAGATTTATTTATTAACCTAAAAAGTCAGAAAGTAAATTACACAAACCTTGTCATTGTCATCAGGATCGGAGTCGCTGTCGAAGGAATCGAAGTCTTCCTCGATCGGCACGACCGGAGCCCGCGGCGGCTGCGAGGGCGCCGGCTCCAGCGACTCGTACAGATGTCCAGACGAGTCGCTGCTGTCGCATTCTGTAATAAAGCCACAGACACATCACCTTAAGTTTTGTTGTGTTTTTATTTTGTTACTAGCTGACCCGGCAGATTTCGTAGTGACTCAATCGATAAATAGAAGACCTAAACTTTTGTATAAAATAAACTTAAAACAAACAAAAGGAATCCGTCCGACAGGGGACACATCAAAGGAAAAACAAAATTGTTCTTTTTATTTAATTCCGACGTAATTTCATATTTATCTACCTTTTAAACCTTCTCTGGACTTCCACAAATAATTCAAGACCAAAATTAGCCAAATCGGTCCAGCGCTCTCGAGTTTTAGCGAGCCTAACGAACAGTATTTGAAGTCGTCGTGGCCTAAAGGATAAAACGTCCGATGCATTCGTATGTAGCGATGCACCGGTGTTCGAATCCCGCAGGCGGGTACCAATTTTTCTAATGAAATACGTACTCAACAAATGTTCACAATTGACTTCCGCGGTGAAGGAATAACATCGTGTAATAAAAACCAAACCCGCAAAATTGTAATTTGCGTAATCAGTGGTGGTAGGACCTCTTGTGAGTCCGCACGGGTAGGTACCACCACCCCGCCTATTTCCGCCGTGAAGCAGTAATGCGTTTCGGTTCGAAGGGTGGGGTAGCCGTTGTAACTATACTGAGACCTTAGAACTTATATCTCGAGGTGGGTGGCGCATTTACGTTGTAGATGTCTATGGGCTGTGAGCTCGTCCACCCAACTAAGCAATAAAAAGATAAAAATGTTCGTGAGTTCGTCCAGTCATATTAGCAATTAAAATATAATATATTATATACCTAAATGTTATATTAAGAATATTGTCTTCGCTCAGCCATCGAAGCCAGACCGGCAAGGCGCTTCAAATTACATATTCCCAACATTACGGTTCATTAAATATTTCACAAAACCGATCTCATTGCACAAGTGACACGCACGACGCGTGGTATGTGGTAACACCGCTAGCCGTTGCGACTCGCGACAGCAGGTGGTAAAATTACGTAACTAGAGGTCAAAGCTGACGGTCAAAAGTTAAATGAATGATCTTGAAACGCAGACCTCATGTGTCTATAAGAAAGACGGTGATTACGTCTGGTTCCAAGATAGTTTCATAATTCAATCCAGACTATCCATACTAATATAATAAATATCAAATTGTTTTTATTTATTTTGAATTTTTGTCCTTCTTTCAGGTCTTAATTTTTTCCTAAGCTGATAGCCCTGAGAGGCTATATCAGCGGAACCTTAACTAGTAGGTGAGCTTAGGGGGCTCAAACCTGACGACGTTGCTAACACCAACCCTAGCAAGAGCCGTGCTTCGTAGAATCTACCACCGGCACGGAAACTCAACCCACTGAGAAGATCCGGCGAGAAACTCAGTGGGCTGTGTCTGAGGGTTAATTTACTCGTCGAGCCCCCGACGTGAACGATGACCGGCTTGAGGTACCTAAAAGCATCGTTAGTGGATCGGGAGGATCCGAAATGACATGTTTGGGGCGACGTAGACTGCTTTACATTCTTTCCGCAGGATCGGGAATGTAGTTACCGGCGGCCACGATGAGAGGGTTCTCGTGTCGTGCCGCTTTATCGAAGTGGCATATCTTAACGAAGCAATATATTGTCATGATTTGTTTTAAAGTGATCATTTTAGTTTAGTGACATAATAGGCTACTTTTTGTTTGAACTATCACTTTTTCTTAACCACGCGGGCGAAACCGCGGATAAGAGTTAAATAAAGATATTAATAAAATTTATTTAAGTAACTTAATATAAAATTATATAATTCGAAACATACCATTTAGAAGGGTAATTTTATTGGACTTTTATTCTTCGCGCATTTAGTAGAACGTCAAATTGAGAAATACTCATGCGGCCCGACACGGAATTGTGCTAGTGTTAGCAACGTCCTCTGGTTAGAGCCCCGTGAGCTCACCTACTAGCTCGGAGAATCTAGCATGACCCCTCAAGGCCACTAGAATAGGTAGAAGAAAAAAAGTGATGGAGTTAGTAAATTCATTTTAGTGTGACCATAGTGGATAGCGAATACATCATAGTGACCTACTTAAATGATAACAGCTAATAATCTCTCAACACTAGCCCGCGACATCTGCTGACAATATAACCTAACCTATTCTAACCTAGGAAGCTTGGAGATCAGTAATACAAGTATTATGTATGTTAATGTAAAAATATTCATTATTTTTCGATTCGGCCAAGTGTAAATATTTTAGGTTTTTTTTTTATAAGGATCCTTTTGCAATAATAGTATCTTTAATATTCACGTATCCTTATCGAAACTATATTAACACGTGCGATCTCAAGAACATCTCTAGAACAAGAAGCTTGCTTAAGGATATTATATCGCGGTATCCTCAACAATCATATAACATTACGTGAGTCTGTCATAAACGTAAAGCTTTCTGTATCATGTTGAGCTTCAATACCTAATTCAATAAATAATTTTAATAATTCAATAACTCAATAATTTCAATTCAATAATTTTACCGCCGAGTCGAAATGCAGTTTCACCATTGAGCATAATCGCTCAGATACTTACTAGCGGCTTGCTCTTTTCCAAATACCATAACATTTGCATGAGATACTGTAAATTTGTACAAGTTCTATAGATTGTACAATTTTAAATCTTCGGGTCTTCAATTGAAAAATCGAAAGGAAGATATGGGTACGCGATTCTGACCTATTAAAGAGTTCCCTGTTATTCGCTCGAACTGGTATACTTTACCTAATAAACAAATTCCTAGTCCCTCTATATTAATTAACGGTGGTAACTCAAAACTGAAATTCTATAAGTCCATTAATCGTCTGAGCCGTGACTAGAATGGTATTTGTAAACTGGTTTCATAAATTTGTAACCACTAGAGTATAATTGTAATTGACCAAGCAGTCTTATAAAATAGTTTTAAATTTGGGTTTTTTTTTATGAACATCTGTCATACCTGTGTCAACAAATATTTTGTTTTATTCCCTTTCCGTTTTGTTGTATAAACCAGGCAACATTAGAAAAGAAAACTTTTCACAATTGAATATAACCACACCCAGAAATGACAAAATCCGTCAAGATGGCACTAAGACATTAAAAAATATATAATCGTGAATCAAAGACCTCATTTGACAAGCTCCATTTTGGCGTCCACCTTGCCGTGTCTATGCGCTTCCAAAACCAACCACACCAAATGACCTGTGACATTTCTGAGAATGTTTACCCACCGGTAAATTCTAACGCTCAGAGATTTTCACTCATTTACATAAAAAAAAGCAAAAACACGGATTGATAATTATTTACCACGCCCTGTAACCTCTGGAAAACATTAAGAGGGCGACTCGCTTTATCAATGCTTCAGACGAGAGTAATCATTTTCGTAATAAAGCCTCCTTCTGGGATTTAATCTGGCGTTTCTTATTGTTTAAAATCACACTTATATCCAACGTTTCCCAAAATTTATAATTTTCTTCGTAACGATACAATGACAATAAATAAAACGTGATATGAAACCGTAAAAAGTACAAGATTTAGATAATTAGTCCAAGACCCGCGAAAGCCGGAGAAAATATATTCATTTTCAGTTCAACAAACAGAAAAAATAAGTTAAATTAACATTTTAAAAAAATACGAGTTTAGATTAAACAGTAATTCCAATAAATATTTATTAGTATTACGAAACGAACGTTCGAGCTTTCTCTAAGTCTTTAAAGAGAAGAGTTAGGCGTTTCATTTTGTGTCTATACACATACGCATGTTAAAAGTGTTATCTTGAATTTAAAAACATCATAAAGTTTTCGGATTGCAACAAATAATTCGTACGTTAGGTATGAATTTAATATATGTTTGCGCATCTGAAGTCACGGATCACTCTCACAGATAGTAAAATTATGACCATAATGTATCTGAATAATAATGTATGATAATACATAACCTATAATATGATCGTAATAGTAAAAGAAAGCTACTAAAAATGATTCATAGTTATATTGAGTTTATTTAGCTTTTATTGTTCGTTGTAATTTTAATAAAAACATTAAAAAAATATATAATTTTATTTTAGAACCGGCTCCCGGTTGTTAGGTCCTTTAATGCTGTATAATTTATAAAATAAACTTCGTTATAGATCCTTCTTAAGATAAATTATCAGACTTTTACATATTCATAACAATTTATTCATTGTGACACAATTAAATTTAATCAACTGAAATGTAACATTGCATACTTGTTGAATGTCGAATATTAATTACTCCCACTAAACCACGGAACGTCTTGAGACGAATCAGCGCAGTAAACTCAAAGATAAACACTACACTCCATCACTGTTTTGTCGCTAATAATTTTAAATCTTTTTTTTTTATAGCTTAGATGGGTGGACGAGCTCACAGCCCACCTGGCGTTAAGTGGTTACTGGAGCCCATAGACATCTACAACGTAAATGCGCCACCCACCTTGAGATATAAGTTCTTAGGTCTCAAGCACAGTTACAACGGCTACCCCACCTTTCAAACCGAAACGCATTACTGCTTCACGGCAGAAATATGCGGGAAGGTGGTACCTACCCGTGAGGACTCACAAGAGGTCCTACCACGAGTAAAGTATTCATTTTTCAGAGCTCTTATTAGTAAGTACCCTGTTTCATAATTACGTGATCATGGGCGAAAGAATTCGAAATGTTAAACTCTAGAATATGTATCCGCACTGCAGACGACAAAGCTAGATGGAAGAACATAATCTGTGATAAGTTATTCAAAGAGATCACAACTCCTTGGCTTAAGGAGATCAATGCTCGGCAAAAAAAACTTTTTTTCTATCCATAGTTGTCCACTGCCGTACATAGGCCTTTCCCCAAGGTTCGCTACAAAACTCAGTCATTAAAAATTATAATTATTATTACATTGTTCATATTTGTATATTTATAAATACTAGTCGTCCCCCAATAGTCGAACTTCAACCATAATTCATTGAAATTATAACTTTAACATTATTATGGTTCTATTG